ATGTGCTACTACTATCCCGATGCAGCGAAGCTAGGTGGTGCTATTATGGCGGGGGAAGGGTCTACTTCTGCTCCATCGGAATGCTTTTGGTGGCAGGTCTTTCTATTACCGATATGGACCTCAGGGTCTCATTCTGTACCTAGGTAAACGATCTATATAACTAAGGTCAGTATATGAATCTGCTGCGTCTTTTATCTCTGGTGTTGGATCACCTACTCACTACTGCGCTGCGACAAGGACTGGAACTGCCTCCGCGTTTGGACCTTTGATTAATTAACATCTCTTTTGTTTATTGACCTCCTATTTCTTTGTTTTTAATCCTAATCCACAGGAGGTTAAATTCATACTTTAGACTGCTGTTAAATTATTTAAGTGTCATTCTCGATCTAACAAGAATGGAATCACGCTCTGTAGGATTTGAACCTACGACATCGGGTTTTGGAGACCCGCGTTCTACCGAACTGAACTAAGAGCGCTTTATTTTCAGAAATAATTTTTTGTGACCCCAATACATCTTGCATGCATAATATAATTTTTCTTTTCTTAATAAGAAATAAGCCCTTGGCATAGAAGCTGTGAAAGAATAGGCTGCTGGAGGAAGAACCGCCCCAAAGCGGGAGAGAAGCGGAACGGGCAAGTCAGCCAGAGCAGCTTTGAGGGAAGCCAGCTCCTCATCTGACTTTGTTTGAAGGTCGGTGTCGAGGAATGGCATGGTCTCCGGGAGAAAGAAAGCCAAAGGAGCGAAAAGCACACCATCCTAGGTAAGCAGCATCTTTGAAGCGGCATCTCACTCAATATACGCAATTCTCAGATCTTTCTTTTCCGGCCGATTCCGTGCCACTCTACTTTGGACCCTCTTGCAGGAGCTCGGACTGAGTCTAGTTTAGGTCCATCCGAGGGTTTGCCTTTTCCTTCTGCACTTCTTCACTTTTCTGCTTTTTGGATGGGTGCTCTCCCCCGAGTGAAGGCATAAGCCGTAGCCGTAGACAGTCACTAGCACTAGTTTGATCGCTATGCCATTCTCGGCAACGATGTGGTGATAGCTGATCGACGAGTTGCTTCGGTCTACCTTGTTGAATCATCTACATTGATTGAGGACTCGATGTCAGAATGCATTCTTCGATACCCTGTTGTAGAAGTTTTCATCTAGTTCCTGTAGCTAGTCGTAGATGCATATTATAGCTGCTATCGGATCAGAGGTTCGGGGGATTTTGAACTATATTATTTAAAAATATATATAAATTTTATTCCTGTTGGATCTCTTGCTTTCAAGTTCTCTTAGTTTCTATGTAACTCAATCAGGACGTAGATGTAGATACGGATAGGGGTAAACCGGGTAACCAATCCATGACTCCTTCACCCTTAGATCGCAAGACTAAGGCCAACGAGGCGGAACCTCGTGTGATAGGCTGGTTCTCACCAGGGTCAGTCCTATCACAAAATTATAGTTTATAACCTCACTCTGCTTGGTAAGGCAGAGCCCTATGTTAGTCAAATAGGCACCCCCGGTTTCTTAGTGAAACTCATCAAGGTGAGGTTTGGTGGGCTAGCTTATAGCTATTCTATCACTCAGGGATCCAGAATGGAGCAACTGGGGGTGACGCGGAAGCCACCCGGGTGGGGTCAGATATGATATCAAGCGGCCTCATGCAGGTAACCAAACCAGCGTAGGAAGCTTATCTATTTAGATAATAGGCTTCCATCTGGAAAACTTTTTTTATAGGATATCTATAGTTAGACTCATCCAATGGTGGAAGATCTTCGGCTACTAAAGTCAATGTGTAATAAGTTGATTTTAGTAGTCACTGATGGTCTAACCTAACCAAGGAGCTCTGTATCGGAGCATACCTCTTTGCCAAGCAGGTAGTTTGAATCGCCGGTCAGGCGCTCTGTTTACTGCTTTATATCTGAAGCAGTGCGCAGTAACACTTCAACAGGCGTACGGTGGGATTACCCCGTATGATATTCATACTAAACTATATGTACCCGTATCACTCACTAGATCAGGTTACCCTAGGATCAGACCATCCTTTCATAGACAACAAATCTATATATAAAAGGGATGATAAAGCTGATATGCTAGTTAAACTCTACTTATCGTTCTTTAGTTTATCTAGAGCGATTAAGTTAGCAAAACGGATTTCTCCGTCTTTGTTTGCTAGCATAACTGATCCTATGTCTGACGTTCACAAATTTTAAGAAGTCAGAGATTGGCTACGAGGGTTAATACGTAAACTAGCCAATCGGTACCTATATCAAGCCCTCTCACGCCCCCTTTACCAGGGAATCTCGTGGGAACCGACTTGGAAGGCTCTGCCAACGGATCGTAAGCGACCTGGTCAGTCTCGCCGTGAAAGAGGCATATTTGCCAATTTTACATCACAGTGACTCTGGTTCGCTATGCTCCGTTTATCGATGTCTGTTAACCCTGCATTAGCATTAGGAATGACGCAGAAGCTTACATCAAAAGGATCAGCAGCCTTTTTTATGGTCATCCATTACCACCTCGTGATGAATGGGATGATTGGCTATCCAATATATCAGCCAATAGTTCTGTTACAATTCAAAAATGTATTCTGATGGAGTTTGACAGTACTGGTGACTTATTTTGCTATCCTGGCGGGTTCTCGCATTCAGTTGAGTCTGGTGCGGGCAAGAGGAGGGTGTTTGCCATAGGAAACTATGTCAATCAGAGGCTTCTCCGACCTCTCCAGCCCCGAAATTAGGCTCTTTTCCTTCTCTACGACCACAGACTTAAGTTAGAAGATCCACCGGAGATAGTCCTTTCTTTGACCTACCTTGACTTTAGTGGGTCTACGAATCCGCGGAGGGACAAGTCTGCTAGTGACCAAGCATCGAGTCAAGATAGGAGCAACCCCCCATTCAAACCAACCTCTAAAACAAGTTTTCACTAGGTTTTATCTGGAAGGCGGGAAGAGCTCTATTGGAGCATTTGGACGGGAAGCCCTACAGTAATGGGATCCGTTACTTGACTTGTGAAGCCCTGTGCTCGAAGCAAAATAAGATTACTTGCACAAAGAAAGTGACCAAAGATATATTAAAAACTTAGAAAGAAAAAGGCGCAGAACGTTGCAGGAGTTCCTGGAAGTCAGTCAACTCTTGCCTATAGTCGGGCAATCAATCCATCCTTCGTCTCGGGCACAAAATAAGAACTCTTGTACTGGAAAAGAGAAGGACGCAATGCCTTTCTTTTACTTACCCTTTTTCTTATCTTATGTATGATATTTATAGTGACCCAGTAATGCCCCATCAAAGAGCCTATTCGTCGTAAGCCCTTTTAACCCTCACAGCTGATTCGACGGGATGCGGATTCTCGAACAAGAACACATGTAGCTCCTTCTCAAAGACCGGATTCTCAAGCAGGGGTTTTGAAGCTTCTTCTATCATTCTCGGTATCAACAAATTACCTCCTCGTATTACGTATTAGAAAAAAAGGTAACCAGATCTCCTCACTGGAGTTCTTTGCATTGGGCTCGCTCGGTTCGTCTGTTCATTGTAGGAAAGCGTTTATGGAGTAGGAACCTATTTTTTGAGGTCAGCCCGCTTTCTTTCTCTGATCCCCAATATGAGTGAGACCAAGATGGCTGACTGGAGTGCCACAAATCAGCTGGTCATGTCATGGCTTCTAAATTAAATTTTTCCTAAAATTTCTACCAGTCTTATATTTAAGACATCGGCTAAACAGGTATGGTCTAGAGGAGCTAGAATCCTTAAAGGCTATTCCTGACCGATTCCCTTTCGTCTCTGCTAAGATGGACGAGAAGAAGGATAAGAATTGGTTTACCCGGTTGGACTATTCCAGAATCTTCTTCTTCGAATTAGCCTCAAAGGCAGGGTCTTATGAGCTCGTCTATTGTGTTTTTTACATGGATAAGCCTCTTCTCTTATGGGCTGGCCGTCCTTCTGTTTCGATGAATGGATTGACCATGAGCTTACAGTGCCTTGTAGAAAGCATAGCCTCATTGTTCACTCACCGAAGATTATTCTCTTCACATAGATCTCGGGATACGAGACCTTCCTTCAACTACGAACTAAGCAGCCTTGAAAGTTGAAAGAAAGGAGTAGTGAAATGAAAGAAGAAGGGAATTCGTTATTGGATAGTCCCATCCCAATCCAATACGAAAACGAGTAATGAGCACCTTTATGTTGTGGGCAGCAGAGATTAGATTCTTATTCTTCTCTTTGCTTTGGTACCAGCCTTGATATCTCAATCTTGCAAGGCACGACAGGCATCGGAACGAACTCCGCGGAGAGCCACTCTTTGGTCCAATAAAGAGACAGATCAGCATCCATAGAATCTATCTAGAAAGAGGCAGTCTGCCGCATCAAGAAGAAGCGCACATCTTTTTTTCGAGAATCTATCCCCTTTCTTACCGGAAGTTACATTTTTGAATATCTCCATTAAAGGAAGATTGGAGGGGATCTTTACCTAAAGGTGCGGAGCGAAGTCTGCATTTATTGCTAGTTCTTCTCCCAGTCTCGGACTCAGCCTTTTAGCCGATTCGCACCTTTACTCTCTGTCTCAATCGAGCCGGTCAGATCAATAGAGAAGTCAGGCACTCGATAGACTGAAAGGAAGGTTCCGCCCGTAAATTTATTGATCAATGTTACCGGGAAGCAGCAACAGAGACAGATTGAGTGCTAAAGCTTCTGTCCCGTAACGGTTGATCCGTCGGATTTTCGCCTTCAATGACCTATTGTAGTGTAGGAGGTGGCCTTCCCAAGGCCAGAGGACTGGTGACAACAGTACCATAACGGTTTTTATTTTAAAGCAACACAGGTTACCGCGCGAGGTCGTGGTAGAAAGAATCTTGGCCGTGGTCGTAGTTCATTGGTGATTGTCAACGAGGGGAGTGGAAGTTTTTCAGGTAAGCCAGACTTCCAAGGTGAGCCGTAAGGCGAACTATTAGAGTGGGTAAGCGCCTCTACTTTTATTATAGTGGGTAGAGGGTTTCTGAGCTAACTGGCCATGTTGGTACCACCACAATTGTAGTAATTATTTCATTGATTGATCGACCAGTGGGATATTCTCTTACGTACAGAATTAACGGGCTTAACGAAGCTCTTCGATGCGCTTCGCGTCTCTGTTTGTTCGTCCCAGTCTCTGTTCGGGTCTCTCCTTCAGCATGGCTCTCTCTTAGAGCCTTGTACCTTTATTGAGATTTTTTTTAGGATGGGTGTAGCTTTCTTTCATGTAGGAATTTATCCCGCTGTAATGTAATATATAGGAGTTCTCCCGGCTTTATTTATGATAGTTGTGTTCTTTCTATTCCTTCCAGCCGAGGGATAAGAAGGGTAAAAGAATGAAAGGTAAGCATGTCGTGTCGACGCACGCGAAAGGCTATCAATGCACAAGTCCACTTCGATAGCCAAGCAATGAGGGAGTCTGAAGATACTTCCAGTTCGCTGGACTTAGTTTTAGATACTCCAAGCCTCGTTATGTTCATTCTTTTCTGTAACGTATTTCGATATTTAATGTACAGGTCGGTTGGGAACCTAATAAGACAAGCCAAGCGCTTAGCTTAGTTCGGCCGTTTACAAATTAGAATACCGAAACTGAGAATTCCATATGCCCTAAGACAGATGCCACTAAACAAGTAAAGGACAACAGACAGTATTCGTGGATCGGGAAGACCAACTCTCATTCAAGGAAGCGGACCGTTGACGACAGCAGGCCGGGAAGGAATAGAAAGCGGGGATAAGGTCTCAGTGTAGTCGATGTCCTCTTTCAGAGTGAACCCCTTGGCGACAAGCCTGGCCTTCTATCTCTCAATCTTGCCTTTTGATTCCCTATTGGTCTTATCAATTTACACCCTACGGGCTTTAGGCTTGGCTCATTTTCTTTCTCTCCCTCTTGATGTCTTGTCGGCCTAACCTAGGAGTTATCTTTCCCGGAAAGATAGTAGTGGCGCTCTCTTCGCATCCTTTGACTTTCCATGCTTCGTGAAGGGCTCACTTTCGATCAAGGTAATTTATGCCTGCTCTGGTTCCCGGCAAAGAATGGATGAGCGCTCATGAGTTCCCACTATCGAATCATCTCAGTTCGTTCCTATTCCGGGCATTGAAAGCTGAAATAAAAAGACATCAAGGCCTAAGTCAGACAATGATGATCTTCTCTTAAAATAGCAAGAATAGCTTAGCTGGTGGAGGACTCTGCACCCAGTAAGGTCGACACTTTCAGTCAGGAAGATGCTTTGCCACCCAATCGGCCGAAGCATTGGCTAATCTGTTCACCCTTTATACCGACCAGCTGTGGTGGGACATCAGGAGTTGCTGCACATCACTAACAATAGGCCTCAGACTGCGATCTGTAGACGACTTTTGACTATGAAAAGCTTTCAAGACCTGAGATGAATCCGTTTTCATACATACAAACATAAGATAGCTGTAGATAAAAAGCCAGGTCAGAACCTTTCCTAAGTGTAAGTGCATGAGCCTCCGCCATGTCCACCGAAGAAAGAGTCATTTTATTTTCTTTATCGCCGAGCGTCTTTCGAGTCTCATGTTGACTTTTCTCTTTCATGTGAGACTTCGCCTTAAGAACTAGGGCTGAGCCCATACAACTATTATTGTTTTAACACTACTCTGCGGGAGATTGGTATTAAACCGAAAGCCTAACCTGGACTACTAATGGCTTCTTCTCTTGTTAGAGGAAGCCCTGATTCTCAGTCTTCTTTATGTTACACGTAGCAACTCTTCTTGTTCAATCCTTTAATCGGAACGACGAGAGAGTGACTAAGCCGAAAAGGCCAATAGCATTTTCTCTAGCAAGTGTATTCAACACTATATTAGAATGAGATAAAGCCTCAGCTTTTTTCGCCGTTTGTTTACACCTTCCTTTTGAACTCAGCTTTCACGTCTTTAATCCTCGATTGAGCTAGTCACTGGCGAACGCTTCCAAAAGAGACCTACCTCTACTCTAAACAAGAGCCGAGCCTTCGGGTATCAGACTAGCTGAAAAACCTAGTACGTAAGGATATAGTTCCTTTCCTCAAAACCAGTCATCCGAGTGGGGCCCTGCGACAGGTGCCATATTTAGGTTGCTTGCGACTGATACTTTTAGGGATTATTTCCATCTTCCCTTAATTAAGGGATTGAGAGAACATCCGGTCGGGAAAGAGCCACTACTTGGTTCAATAATTAATTGAAGGAAAATTATATCCCTCTTCGACATCAGATTCTTATCCTCTTTTCCGGGGAAATTTTGTTTTATTCTCTACGGCCCAAGGAAAAAAGTGGTCTGCTTTATTGAATCTTATTTCAACAAGGGGTGTCGCTTTCGTTTTCAATAAGGACGTTTAGTAGGAGGTACTTGCCCTTAGAACCATAAACATTTGCGAGTCGCCTTTTTACATGAAAGGTGGGTAAGGACTGCCAAAGAGCTCGAGTAGATTCATGAATGTCCTGGAATTTTAGTATGGGCTTAACAGGTCGAGAGAGTCTTATGCCGCGCAATCTCTTGCCGAATCTATTTATACTATGTTAAATCCATAACCCGAGAACACACATTTGCGAATCCGGCCCTCTTTCGTTCGTCGTGATTGCTTTGATTGCTCTGAAAACACCCCCTCTCACTCAGGGGTAGCGATCAGATCTTCCTGCTTTAGCGGTTACGAATGGCGATTCTTACCACAAAATTAGACATTCCACTTTGAATGCTGTTTTCTTTCGCTTTGTTTTGGCTTCCATCCCTGAGCTTTAGCCCTAGCTTTCTTACGAAGAAGAGGCTTTCTCAGATCATATGGGGGAATAAGACTCAACAACCGGTCGTTCAAGTTCAAGAAGCAAACCTAGGAAAAGGGAAAAGTAAAAGACTTGGAGAAAGAAATAAACTTTGAATTTTGGCATAGAAGAAGAATTCATCCATATAAGAAACAAAGAAAAAGATTTCGTGGGGGTGGCGCTGGAGTCAGATCAATCCGACGCGGGATCTATAGGCTCCGAATATCCAGTTAGTTTAGGATCCCGGGGACTGGAACGGGCGAAGCCATTGGATTGATTAGCCCAGGCGAACAGGAATGTGGTCGTCTAGATCGTACCTGCGGAAAGATTAGGTGGACCCCTATACATTCATTGATTAGACCGAAACCAATCGAAGCGATCGAGCTACCCGCATTTTAGTTTTGCTTTATCAAGCAGGGGCTTAGCCGCTTCTTTCTATTATTTCTTATATTTCAGGCAGCATTGGGAAAAAAAGAGACAAAACGTCGAATGGCTAAAAAGCCCTATTAATGTATGTGGAAAGTCTATACTTAACACACCGACTCAATTGGAAGCTGACTCCTCACAGGGTTCGAAAGTGAAGGTTTCAATCATATTTATAACACTGAAAAAGGCATAACATTGATTTACACTCGAGAACTAAAATTGAAATTTGCAAATTATTCATTTAATGATTCACCTACGCGTGATACTGATCTTTGCATACCAAGGGGCTGACCTGAACTAATGTCCTATACGAGACGAAGGCTAGGGATGAAATGGCAAGTGCCGCATCTCCTTCCACAGCGGATGATTCATATCTATCTTTATCTTCAGACTTGGGCAAAACAAAACTTCTATGCGATGAAACAAAGGAACAACATTCATTCCCTAAAGAAAAAGAAAACCATTACCAAGCCAAAAGATAATTTTAATTTCACAACCGAGATCGCAAGCATGGATCAAAGACGGAATCTCCTCAAAAAGAAGCGCTATCGATACAAAATGCTATAACGATTCACTAATGGAAGTCTTTCGATGATCCAGCTACTCAGACTGGACTCCTTTACTTAGTGGGTAGGAATTAAATATTGAGTTTGTTATTCACGGAGCTACCACTACTTGAGCTTACACCCGGACTCTTACTGTAGTCTCATTTCCAGTATCCTATAAAAGAAAAATACAAGTCCGTTTTTATATTCCTTATAGCACGGGTATAGATTACCTCACGGGATGAACTTATTAAGTTATATTAATACCATAATCGGGTGTTCAAGTAATTACCATTCAAGTCTCAAGCTTCCGGCAACCACTTATCCCAAGGTAGGTGGGAAATTAATTCCGGATGGAGCAATAATATTAAATTTAAAAATTTTCTTTCTAGGCTTCGGCGTATGTAGATTCGGCAAATGTTTCCACATCTCGGATCCTGGGTTCACACTCTAGGAGTCCCTTTCTTCGGGAAGTGACGGATCAATCTTTCATTGAAGAGAGGAATTGGCACATTAGAATCAAAGATGAGCCGGCTTCCTTATTCTTTTTTTAATCAGGAAAGCTAGCCACCGTGGAGTAGCATGAAATGCGCACCGAATCGTCTCTTTGCAGCAAATCGTCTGTTATTGAATTGACTGCTTGATAGAATAGGCGGTTCTCTTTCTGTTAGCAAGAATCTGCTGTTAGAGAATACGCTTGAACTAATAGACGGATGGGATTGATTGATTCTAAATCCGCCGAAAGTCTTTTAGTCAACAAGTACGGATTTCTAGACTGGCATCTTATCTTAGAATAAAGGTTTAAGAATCCAGATCAAGAATAGAAGTAGAAGCATGCTAGCATAGAAAGAAGTCCCGAGTGAAAACGACTTTCCTTAGGATGAGCTTTTAGGGCAAAGTCTAAGGAGCTTATTCGTCGATAACAAGCCTTTATTCAAAAAAGGAATAGAACCGGAAAGCTTTGAAGGCTAAGGTCGTAGAGACAGATCCATATGCATATGTTTATAGGAGTGAGACCAAAAAATTTGATGGTATTACAGGAAGCTCGGCCATACGGGTTGAAAAATCTTCATTCGTACCATACCGAAAAGACCGCTGGTAGATTTTGGTAAGTAAATCAGAATCTAGTGCACATCCTTGCACCTCTCCATATGTATGTGCTTTAGCCCTGATGCCATTACAAGCCGGGATTAGACAGTCCAGACAGACAATACAATCTGTGACGAAATCATACGGCTATGCCAGGGCGAGCAGTGCTGCTGCTCGGCAGTCACCCGCTTGGATCCTGCCTTGTTAGTCATCCGTAGAGCTCAAGAAAATTTTCTTTAGCCTTAAGTCATTCCCACACACCGACCAGGTTAGGGTGGCTGTTCAGTAACTCCTAGCCCTACTAGAAAGATAAGATAAATTGCTTGCGCGCTTCGTCAAGTGAGAGAGCCACTTAATTAGCAATAATGAGAGAGTGCTTTTATCTCATATGAGAAAGCGACGGGATAGGGTTAGTTTGAAAGGGCTACAGCAGGGGAATGATTTTAAGTCCTAAGAATAAGATCTTCTCGGACAATTTAGTTTGAAAACCTTGCCTTGCCTTTAGTTGAACTTCCCGAGTGGGAGATCAGTTGCAGGAGTTCATTCAGGGGATGAGGAAGGTGACCATGCAACTTACGTGGGTCAGAAGCAGAGGGTTCTCAACTAACTAGTCGCTTCCCGGGAAGAGCCTTTGGTTCAGTCCGTTCCGCAGTTCTAGTTTCAATCTTGTTGTAACTGACTCCCATCCCCACTATAGCTATGGATTCCCGCCTAAGCGGTGGGTGACCACTTCTTAAGTATTATTGCTTGTTTAGTGTCGTTTTCTTGCTTGCTTTATCTTGCTGTAAAACGTCTAGAATCATTCAAGTGGTGGATATGCCAATTGTAGCTAGCCTGAAGTGAAGGAAGTTTTTCCGGTACCGCTAGCTCCCTTTCACGAGAAGAGAGGCACACTTTAGACTTGACTTTCAAATAAGCTAAAACCGTAGCCTCTGGCACACCCACATCGGATAGGACCACTTCCCCTTCCCCCCAGCCCAAGTTCACCCTCCTATGCTATGATACTTGGACTAGGGGCCTCCTCCCCTTGTGCTTTTATACACATGGAAGTACCTTTAATTATCAATTCGCCTTAACATAGTAAAATTTCTTTGGGTTTGGTGACTACTATTTTAGTCCCTCTCGTCCCAAACTTCCCCTTTTTCCACAGAAGCCCTCCCCCCACTTTATTGTTCTGCATGCTTCATGAGTGGGAAGAAAGCGGAATCTTTCTTATCCAATACCAATCCGGGAATACTAGGCTAAGCATGTAGCCTAGCCGCTTCACTCGTCAAAAACAGGCTTATAAGAATGGTACTAACTAAGAATGCTATTGGATGAGGAGATTTGTACTCAGGAAGACCTGGTAAAACTGAACTACTTTCGGCGGTTCCTTCTATTATCTCCTTCACGCTACCCAATCCGAACTCATGAGTGCCTGTAGCAGCATTGAGTGATCCCCTTCTCCGACATCGATACCCTAGGGATTACAAATCGTGCCAACTTCCCTCTGCTGCGTCGCTCTACAACTGGATACTGCATCTTTCTTTGCACTAGTCGAATTTATTGGAACCCTAAGAAGGAATCTACTGTCTCTCGCTTGACTTTATCGGTAAAGCATTTCTTGCTAGATCGAATTGAGGGTGACTTCTTCCCTTCCGCTGACTAAGGCGCTTCGCTTGTGCGTTTTCAACATCCATAGCTTCTGACTATGTCGGTGAAAAAGGTCCCTATTTTCTATTTCAAAGAACTACTTATGATCTGAGACTCTCTATCTATTGTCTTACTTTCGGCATCTTTATTTACGAGGAATTGCTAAGTAGGCGTACTGGTTGTCTCTTCTTGAAATGCTTTCCCTTGGCATCGGTGCCAGCTAGGACTGGTAGCATGTTCTTCTCTTAGGCTTTCTCCTGGTGTCAACATAGGAATGGGAGCTGTTTGAATGGATGCCTTTTTCCCCTGATCTTATAATACGAAACGCAATCGATTGAGAAGCCGGAATCTTTACTAATCGGCCGGGTGAAGGCAAGAAAATAGTTTCATTTGCGCACCACGGGAAAGCTTGAAGATCAGAGAAGCACCCTTTGGAATAGCAAACACTTTACTCTGGCCACGGGGAAGACATTTCTTCAATTAACATTCTGGTGACCAAGCTTTAATATTAATAGAAAAGAACGCAATGGATATTTTGAATTGAAGAAATTCCATCCATCTTCGATTCCCTTCTCCATGTGTAAAATGAATCAACAATTCTCATTGCTTCACTCGCTGGCGCATCCACGGGACACCCATACCACAGCTTCGGATTCATTGAGTAGGAGTCAAAAGCAGCACGGGAGCTATTAGCCTTAGGTTCGGAAATAAAAGTATTTATTCATATTAAACGGTAGCTTACGCTAATATGAGAAAAGGTTAGGGAATGACTAAAGAAGAACTACATTCATAGGTAAACCCCCTCTTTCTATTCGTTTATTCTTTTTTGTTGATTAGGTTCTGCCCTTTTCGTGCTGGCTAAGATTGATAATACGACTCAAACTCCTAAGCCACCATACCTGATTGCTTTGATCGAAGCTTAAACAGGGCCTGTGCTATCAGAGTGCTTTACTTTTTTTCGAGCGGTTTATCTTGTTTCGGTTGCCGATTGCTTTATTCTATGCGTAGATTGGTTGGACCCCGCTTTGACCCAGTCGTGAGACGAGCCGCAGGAAACAACTAGGTGTCAGCGGAAAGTAAGTCCTTGAAAGTTGGCAGATCGGCATGGGCGGTTAAACTAAAACTATTAGCTCCTCCGGTCACTCTTACAAAGCCTTATCCTTCATGTCTATCTTCCATGACAAGATGAATCTATTGCCTCCTCGCCTCACTTCCACTATAAGTTATTCTGTATGGGACAAACGCCAGTCACGCTCGTCATTGTCCACCGCACCACTAGTCACCCGACTCCGAATCCCATTTTAGAGATCTTTCCTTCCTCTCTCTGCAATCAAACTAAAGCCCTAACGCTATAAAGCCTATAGCCTGCCTTAGTCTCGCGCATACGTTTTCTTGCTGGGTGAGGGCTTTAAGACCCTATTCACATAGCGTTCCTGACTTATAACATTTGAATTTATAAAAAAAAATTTAATTTGAAACGGGTATGGCTTTAACTTCATTCATTTTGACAAGGATAAAATCAATGGGAAGAGGTGATTCATGTTCAAGAGAGCTGCTTTGTAGGGAAATATTTAAATTATATATGGAATCCCATAATTTCCATTGAGCGGGTATATGAAATAAAAAAAGAAGACTAAAATTTAGAAAAGGTTTTCCAATAAACTCCCCAGACTATAGTAAAATGGAGGGAGATGAAGCTCAAGAACAAGCACTCAAACGAGGGATCCATGTAAAGCAGACCGGCAGCCAGAGATTCCAATAGGCAAGAACGGTCCACACTAGTATGGGCGCACGGGAGTACTCTCCCCTCAAAGTACGCCACCGGTTAGGTTTAACGTAAGATGGCTTTGTGTTGTGCGAGAGTGGCAAGAATCGGGTCAGATTTCGCCGGGACGCAGCTCGATTGCCTTTCGTGCAGAGGAACCTTCGACTAGGGTTCGTACGATGCCCAAAACCTTACAGTCCACAAGAGCTATTTCGAACAGCACTCTACGAGAATTGTTGGAGAATTGGATGTAACTCTATAAACTCCTATATTATCTCCTATCGCAGAATACCTAGTTTGAACTCCTACTCGAAATCGAAAGAAGGGAAGGTTAGTGGCACTTCTTTTTCACGCTTGAACTACGGGACAGACTAGCGGAAAAAAAGTTACATCCATACGGGAATAACCCCTGTAAGTCAACCCAGTTGTCTTAGGCTCAAATCCGCACTTTCGGGAATAGAATGCTTCTTTGACAGAGCTTTAAGCAATTGGACAAAAAGGTTCTGCACGTGAATCAGACTGGCTTTATCTCAGGATGTGGGATTACCGATGTCACGATTGGAATTAGGAAAGGAAGCCTCTGTCCCAACTTTCTTTCCAGACTTGTAAAAAAGGAAATTCCCACGGCTTCCGCGGAGAGACTCGGCTTGTGAGCTCCTTCTCCAATGGAACCTACTGTGTATACTCTTGCTTCACTGGAAGACTCGCTCGCTCTGTTGGTGTAGGTCTTACCTTTCTTGATCCCTTGGTTAGGCTAGCTAATTCAATTGATCTGATACCAAGATAACCCTTGAGATACCGTCCGATGTGCTTGATCTCTAGTCTGATCTTCCATCACTTGACAATGGGGATGGGGGCTAAGTAAGCCCCCGAGGAGATCATCACGCTACGTAAAGGGCTGTGAAAAGGAATCCCGCCTCTTCTTTCTGCCTTTCCCTTTCCTTTATGATTCTCTTTGTTTATTCTAACTTTTTACTTTTTGGCCTAGAATGTACGGTATCTGACTAGCATTTGCTGCGGCTGGTTTCTGTATTTGCGCTAAAGGTACTTGACCCCTCTTCATTCTTAGCTTCCATTCCAAAAACTGCACTCTTTCGGTCACCTTCCACAATGGGCTTTCAATCCGCTATCTCCGCATTGCTTCTGTAAACTCCGGTATAGTTCCCCTCCCCTTTAGTTCCATCAGTGGGTTCCTCCATTCTCTTATCGGTATTATTAGAATGTGTTGACTAGTTTCGCCTTCACCCCACTCTTTAATACGTGGGAATCTCCTCATCATCTGACTCCCCTTTTGGTACCATTATCTTTTGTGGGGGGATCACTTTATGGTTATAGCGCCGTGCGATGGGGTGGGAGTGGACGGACCACCGTCCCCGCCTACAGTAGGCAACAATGCCCCAGCACCTGTCATTGATGCTCCTGAAGTTCCCCCCGCGGCCCCAGAGATTCCCGTATTAACCCACCCCTTATTACCAGATAGCGAACGATAAAGCGAACTATATAGGCGCTTCTTGGTTAATACTATAGGGGAAGAGCCCAGCCTACGGCGGATTTCTGACACAATTCGTGTTCAGAGTCTGATCGAAAGACGGGAGAAGCTGCTAACAAGAGGTTAGCTGCACTTATCAATAGCAGTGGAGTCGCCCTTTGAAAGCGCTAATTCAATAGCAGTCTTCCGACTGAATAAATCTGAGTGTAGTGTGGTTAAGCGGTCAGAAGTTGTTCCGGATCCATTGCTACCATTAAAAGAATGGGGAGGAGAACTTTAATCTAGCTAGGGTACCGGGCAATAACAGTGAGAGGAAAGCGCTACGAGGACCCTCTTTAAGAGAGATAGAAAGCTAACCCTTAGATTCGGGAATAGGAAACTAGCAGTAAGGGTATTACGCTTCAAGAGAAGTGGAACTCACTCGAATAGAGAGAGTCTAGGCTCACTCACTGGTCAAGGGCTAGTATAGCAAAGAGGCTTTCAATTCCCGCAAAGCAAGTGGGAATTTCCGTGAGCATTAAACTCTTGTATGGTCTTTACCGCTTGGGAACCTAAAAGCTGCTCTATGGCTCGCTGGAGTTAAATCAAGCTATTGATCATATTAAGCCTTCTTCGGCTGATGAAAGTACTAACTTCCCTTGAGACTGAGATTTAAGTTTTCAGTTCAATTGTCATATATTCTTCCCCTGAATTGAAAGGCATTCTGTATCTTTATGAAGTTAACTAAATCGATTAGGTCATACTACTGGTCGGGTACTTAAACTTAAGATAAGAATCGGCTCTGTCGCTTCTAGCTTGCCTACCCGCAAACCCTGCCCTTAGGACTAGGTTGGAAACTCCCAAGAGGATGGGGCTTGCTCACTCGCTTTCAAGACGGAAGAATGAAAGTTTTTTCCTCCGGTGATATTTTAGCTCTACTGCATCCGGGACTTTATTTCATTAGAGAACTAGCGGCTCCTGTGGAGGTTGGTAGTTCCCCATCTATCAGCTATAGATCTGGCTGTTTTCCTCCCGCACCCTTATCGGGATTAAGGAAAGCTGGTTTCCATCCTTTGTCAGGACCCGAAAACCTAGTTACCAACCTCTCTTGCATTTTACTTTTTTGGAGTCGTTTTCTATACTATATTTTTTTCAATGTTATAAATCATTAGCATCAGCTATGAGTGCATCTGCTAGGTTCCCATTCCTGCTCAACAACTTGAGAGATTAAGTTCATCTGCGGACCAGTAACAGCCCCTACCTGTTAGCAACTATGGAGCTAATGAACCTTTGCCTTTCTTTCTTATCTTTCTATCCCTGCCTGTATCCTATCCTTAGAGCTCCCCTTTGCGTTGATTATAGGCCTTTTCTTTGCCCTTTGGGAGAGGTAAGGTATAGAGCTTGAATCCCCCAGCTGACATCTTATTCTCCATTGGGCATCCATCCTCATGGCATCTACTTCTTTAAATAAAAGAGAAAAAGCTTTTGCCGCTCTTTCCTTGGCTTTCTTTCGCGTACGTGTGCTCGTCTATACTTTAATAGAAAGAAGCAATTTCTCTGTTCGAAATCAAGCTACAGGCCATCAAAGATGGCGGTAGAACAGCTAGCAAGAGGTGCCCAGGTACCGTTAACAAGCTCATGAATTTAACTTTCAAGCGAACCCCATGCCTTATGGTTTGAGAGTCCGTTTGATTATAAGCCTTTAGAATGGTTATATATACTTTAGAAAAGGGCTATCTCTCTCTAGCTTTCCTTTCTTGCTTGCTTGCTTTCTAGCCCCGATGCCAATGCCCTTTCTGTTCTCGAGTCTTTGCAATCTTCTGCCATTCCTCGACTTTGAAATGGTTAGACCACTGTCTTCGAGTCCGGTTGAGAAATAGCGGATTTGAGTACCGGGAAGTAAGTATGAGTAAGGTCCGGGTCTGGTTGAGTAACTCAGGATAGAGAGAGTCCTTCATTTCTAAAGTATGAATAAATAGTAGACATGTAGCTGCCTTTTAGGTATTGAATCCCTGGCCGGGAAGCGTGAACGATAACATGAGTCTTTAAGGACAGAGTGACCCTGTGGGTTGTCCATTCTTTCGGGTATTCACTAAAAAATCATTGAATTGAATAAGGCTATTCGACTTAGGACTCCCTTACTAAGCTTTCAGGAAAGTCTGAGATCTCATTGTCTTCCTAAAGCCTTTTTAATCCTAAATGAACAGATATAAGATAGATGTAGAGACTCATCCTTGATTCCTATCGGTCAGGGCCCTTGAAGAACCCTCCACGAATTATCGATAGTAGTTTACTAATCCAAGGAAGGAGTGATGCGAAGAATTGCTTTCTTTCGTACCCATTCACAAGAAAGAAGGGTCTCAAGCAGTGTGTTCATGGTCACTCAGAACATAGGATTTTCGGCATCAAAGAGCGCGTGGGACAGGTGAGGGAAGGAAGGGCGGGATGAAGCAAGCAGCCAATCCCTTGCTGGTTAAAAATAGCAGCATCAGTATTAAAATTATAAACACCATGGGGTGGGGCCTGCCAATAGGTGTTTGCACAATTTGTAGCTTCTCCTTCTTATACTATTAGAAGAAGCTGATTGCTTTGTTCACCACATCCACAGGATAGTTCTGTATGTCCTGGAACAGCAGCAAATTTATATCACTCCATAAAGCCCATGCAACTACTAGCATCAGTTCCAGCTGCTCTTCATCAAGACACTTCCCCATCTCCTTCACCCAATCTGAGAGAGAGCCTGCATCTGTTGAGTATGAAGGGCTAATGGGCAGAGTAGCCAAATGCCATATGCCCAAGGGCAGCCCTTTAAAACATGAATGGTAGATTCAG